CCAGCTCCCAGTCTGACACCCCCAGTCCTCCAGCCCGACACCCCCAGTCCCCCAGTCTGACACCCCCAGTCCCTCAGCCTCTCCCGGGTGGTGCCGCAGGTACCCGGACAGCAGCTCGGCCGCATCCGGACCGGTCCGAGCCCGCGAGCACCGAGCCGGAGCCAAAACCCGAGAGCGGTGCGGGCCGGTTCGGTCGGAGAGCCGCTCAGCTCCTCGGTTCTGCACTGCCAGGACACCGAGCCGCACCGAGCCGCACCTACCCTGCGAGCAGCGAGACGCGGGCTCCTCCGTTTTTCTCTTTGTTTTTCTGGAGCAGCGCAGATCCAGCAGCGCAGCGACTGCGCCCGGTTGACAAGACCTGACAGACACACTTAACACACACACACTGACAGTCGGGGAGGAGGGCGGACTGAGGGCAGGCCCGTTGCTTCAGCGGCTCGATCACTCTTCCGCACGGTAGCCAATCACTGCTCACGTTGGAGCCGAAACCCCGCCCCAAGCGCGGGCGGGCCCAATCAGAGGACCGAGCCTCCGCCACCGCTCCGCCTACGTCAGTTGAGCAGTGCGGGGGTGCACCGCCCCGCCCCCTCCCTGGCAAGCCGGGGGAACTGAGCAATGGCAGGCGGGGGCGGGGCACGGGCGGCAAGAACAGCCAATAGCAAGGCAAGGGAAGACGGGGGCCTGGGTGATTGACAGGCCCGCGAACCAAGCGCAGCGCAGGAGCAGGTGTTTCTGAGGATGCAGCTCAGACACCGAGCGCTCGTCCGCTCTTTGTCTCCTCCGTCTCTCGGCCTCGGCGGCTGAGGCCGGGGGGAGGGGGGGTTCTCCTCCCCGCTCCTTAGACTAGCGCAGCAGGAGCAGTGACAGGCTGAGAGCTCTGTGAGCCCCCGGCGGTGTGTGTGTGAGGAGTCATTGATCGGGACCAGAGCTCTCTCCCTCTCTGCTCCTCCTGCTGCCTGGGAAGCAGTGCGTCTCCCAGCAGGCTGTGCGCTCCTGCGCTGACAGTGTGTGAGAGACATAGAGGTGATGTTGGGGTCGGCAGTGTTGCCCCCAGTGCTGGGCCCTGGGTTTGATTCCCGACCTGGGGTGCTATCTGTGTGGAGTCTGCATGTTCTCCTGGGATGCTCCAGTTTCCTCCCACAGTCCAAAACATCACTGCCTCACACACTGGGACACACACACAAACACAACACACACTGGAATGCTACAGAACCCTGAACAGACAATACACACTAGCCGACTATTTGACCAAGATAAGAAACAGCAAAAAGAAACAGACCCTGA